AAAAAAAGCATATATAAAAGAGGGGTAGGAATAATACAAGCAAGTCATAAGTGACACATTAGTTTTTCCCTCTTCCATTATGTGTCCCTAAAACTTCAGGACTTAAAAGAGTAACCATCATCGATTATCAATAGCCTACCCTTGTTTGTTTCTCACAATCATGCTCTTATCAAGAAAGATAATGGCTACAACCCCTTTGCAGTCTAATAACAAACAAATAAGTAGTCTGTTTTTAGGCAAATTAAACATCTAACTTCACGAAAATAGTGATCATAGAGGAAGAAACAAAACTACAATGTTAGGCATCTTAATATCTGATAATTTCTGTTCGGACAGGGGAGATCAAAGCAACAACAGCAATTAAGTGTGACAACTGACAACTAGATAAAGGGCACACTTGCCCACTATGCAGCTGCAGAAAAATAAAATAATGAAAAAAATATTGAAATACCATTCATATGCAAATTAATCTATCAATGGACTCACAATTATCCGCAGAAAAGAAAAAAAAAATGGCATGTATATCTCCTAGTCTACCGAATATTGTGTCTCGGAACATAAATGACAACTCAACTAAATCTATGAAGCTATCAGTGGCAAATCCGCAAAACTTAAAACTCCTGAATAGCAAAATCATACCTCATTTTCCTGGACCTTGATGGTAGATGCCTGAATTGAGACTGGCCACAGGGGAAGCATGAAGCGGTAGACAAAACACCATTGGATTTCCTTTCTCAAAGTTACATTATCCGTTGGTAAAGTGACATTATCATCCAGCTCTAGCAATTGTTGACTTTGATAATCATATGAGAGAAAGCTTCCTTCATACCCAAGATACACAGTATCAGAATCAAATGGGTGAAAAGCTATTGGCACCAAACGTGATGAACGAAGATAAGAACTATCACATGCAGCTTCCCTTAGGTTGATACGGTGCTCCAATAACCAAAGCCCTTCCTCATAGTCACTGAGCGTCCACATACTTATCCTATATCCATCATTATAAGCATTAGAGCCTACAAAAAATCTCAAATGCCCATGATGGACATCAAAGAGTATACCTTTTGTATCAACGCTTTTGCTCCATTCTCTGTCTATGTCCCCCGGAAGTTGTATAATCCGATAAGAATGAGGACCTTTATAAGGATCATAAGCTAAAATTCCAAGTTTCCTATCCAAAAAATGCAATATTTCTTTTAAAACAACAGGCATCTTCCAGAGAGGGAAAAGTTGAAGTACTTGCTGAAAAGGAATTTCAATATCCCTCCATTCACCAGTTTCAGAAGAGAATATATCAAGCTTGAGGATGCTGGTTCTTCCCCCACCATCTTCAAGTCGTATTACTTTGTAACTAGTGACAACACTATCTTTCACCTGGCTGATGAACCCTACACGGCAATGAGCAAAGGGACGCTTTGATGGTGGAATTCCAACATGCTGCTTAGTGATGGGATTCAGAATATAATAGCGACCTAAATCCCACCCGGAGTTTGAGCCACATAACAATAGCCCGTTACCGTCCATGGCAATAATGTGATCAAGTATTCCGTATACATCAGTTCCATGAGCCTGTGCCGAAGGAGGAAGATCAGACTTGGTAAGACAGGCTACACCGACATCATTTGAAAATAAATTCCTGAAAAACCCGTGCTCATGACGAATTTCTTCCCCATGTATACATTTATAAAGAAGAGTCCAGAGTTTTGGTTGTGCAGCCGTAAATGGTGATGCAATTCTTGAAAAAGCATGTCCAAAGGAAGGAGCGTCAATCAGGGAGCGCCATTGTTTGCAGACGCACTTGCATCTAAAGACACACTTCATTGGCAAACGGATAAGCAATTCAACCACCAACGATTCTGGAATATAAGGTAAACCTGACCTCGAAGCTAATCCAGTGCCACATTCTCTACCACTATCCATCTCCGCCGGCGGAGGAACGGGACTACGATCCCAGATGCTGTCTTCTTACTCGAACTAGAGGGTTTAGATGATTTTACGGGGCAACGATTTTATGGGGCCCGTCGATTTGCAGTTCCACGCAAAATGCAAGGCACGGCTCTAATTCTCACTTTTTGATGATTGATGGCATGGCATCCAAAAAGCCTCCTATGGACTGCAAGTTGCGGCAAGCCGAGAAGGGAAGAAATTATACACAGTTTCGATTGTTTTTCTCATTATAGGAAAAGCCGCCACCATCAGTTTGTTACTTTGTCGGGTAGGGCACATTTATGTGTTTTTAGGTTTGTTTGGTTGCTAGTTGAGGTTGGTTGTGCCATGCACGGTCAGTGCCCATCCAAAAGCTTTCAATTGCAATCATAATTTTGGAAAAATATAATGAATTGTTTGTACCTATTTATTTTAATATGCAGCCTTTGTTTAATTTTTGAGCTAATAATCATCAAAATGTTTCTTTTTTTATTTTTTCTTAAGTACCTATACATATAGTTGGGTAATTGCAGACAACTTTAGTATTTTTCTCATCAACCTATGTTTGTACCTATTTTTAACAGTCTTTCTTATTTAATCTAGTTTATATGTTTCCTATATAAAGATTTACATCTAAAAAAAGAGTCAATAATAAGTAAATTAAGCCATTGCTTTTGGCTCTAATATAATGGTGGAGGTATGATAAAAGCACAGCTAATAGTTGATCACATGGCAAGTATTTTTACAAAGTACAATCTAACTTCAAGAGAAATAGCAAACATTCAATCACATTAGGTAATTCAAGGCAGTAGAACGACAAAACATGATCTGTATTATCATCCTATGCAAGAAGAAGAGAAAAATCCAAGGACAACGTTTGCAAAATGATGGTCAAAGGTTTTGAACTTTAGCAAAGTGCGCCATAAAGCAGTGTGTTAACTTTACAATCGAATGGTAACTAAGAACATAACAGGTGATAAATGAAAATTCACTAATAAAGAAGAATTAATTTTATAAAACAAAAAGAAAAATAAAAGGGTTCTCTTTCTTTTATACATTTTTTTCAACACTAAAATATCACTTTTATTTGATTTTTTTCTCAAACACATAAGATAGTTATATTTACTCTCTAAATAAATAAGGTTGCATTTATAATTTTAATTTAATACTATACACAAATTATAAATAAAGCTACATTTACACTAAGACTGGCTAATTTTTTCTTTTTTCTTTGATCATGAGAGCACAAAATGAATTTTGTTTAATGCGCCTTTTCTCTCATCGCAAAAATATAAATTTTGACTGTTTCTTTAACACTGGATTTACAATCATAGTTGTTAGCCCTTTGCTTCAATCCAATTATAATGCTACGAAATAAATTATCTTAATGTAGGATCTATTCTATGATTACAAAGATATAATTTCTCGGTGTTTTTTTTTTCTCTAAATCTCAAACAACAAAAAATCTACAAAAAGTAAAATAAAACTAAAGCACAAATTCTCACAATGATACCCTCATATTTCTTTTTAACTAAATAACCTTGCATTTAGTTGTTAGGCTCCGTATTTAATTTTAATGCTCTATGTTAATTATATAATAAATTTCATCCATTTATTTATATGCACAAACCAATACACAAACAAGAAAAACAATAAATTAGCACTACAATTTGTCGGATTTACTATTCCCTTTTCCTTGGTAGCATTTGGTTAGACTGTCTTTTCTGTCATCATACTTCATATCACATGATTATTCCATAGCCCACATGAATTCCTACATTAGGGGAACAAAGATCAAGTTAGCAAAAGAAATGCAAGCTTGAACTCCTAAAGAGTCACGTGACAGCAGTTGAGTAGCTACAGTAAGAACCAACTGGTTCTTCTATTATAGTTAGATACGTTTGTATTTTTGGGCATGTTTTCAGTTTTCACGTCCTTGAATTATCGTCTTAACAGCCTGTCCCAAGAAAATGAGCAACAATCAAAACCAATATATATATATGGTTCATGAAGAGATTTAGAATTGTGTTCTTAAAATAAAAAAAAAAAAAGAAATTGTATTCTTTATTCTCACATTGGGGATATTGCATTTGTTTTTAATTTTGTTCATAAAGGTTGAATTATTTCTGCAAATGGGGTATATAGTTCAAGGGCCAAGAGGTTGATGAACTTTCTTTGTATTATATTTACAACTTTAAGAATTTAGACACTGCACATAACAAAAAATTTCTTTTAAATTTTATTCATGTGTTTTATGGTCTTGAGTCTTGACAAGTAAAAACAGCAAGTCATGATTTATCATATTAAAACCCAATTATCGTTTTTTTCAAAGTCGCTTATGTTTTTCAAAACTCAATGTGCCATTTCACCAGCTGAAAACTTATTTATCATAGTAGCTTAGTGCTCTCTGGCCAACTATGGAGCCAGGGATTACAGGGGAAAAAACCTATGAGAGAAGGCTTTGGGGAATTATCTATAGTTTGGAAAAAAGGAAATATATATATATATATATATTCACTCATTAAAAATCCCAAAATCATTTCAATGAAGAGCAAAATAAGACTTCAAATTCAAGATCTTCTTCAAGACCCAATTCCCCATCTCCCCCCTTTCTCTGTCTCTCTCTCTCTCTTTCTTTCTCCAAAAGAAAATTTCTAAAAAGAAAAAGGAAAATATGATAAGACGAGGTTCCAACCAAAACAAGGGATCTGGATGCCCATTAACCCCAATGAAGAAGACAACGTTCAGGATTCTAGCCTTACTCACAGGCAAGTGACAATTCACTTGCGTCTGAGTGAGACAATAAAGGCAGCAGGCAGTTGTTCCTTTTTAGCGCATGCTAAATACGATATTCTATCCAACGTTTAAAAGAAATCTTTCAAAATGGAGAAGTGAGAACGACAAGACACAGTAAGAAAAATCAAGCCTTACGTTTCAGCCGAGAAAACAATTAACTTTATATTTGAGTTACATCTAGTCAAAACTAACCAATAATCAGGTGGGGCAAAATAAAGATGAAAACTGAATCCCTATACTCGCTGGTTCTTCAATTTCTTTCTATGCTGAGCAGATCATGGCAAAGATAGGAATTGATAATATAAATTATATTGCATCTTAAGATGCTCTCCAACACAGTACCAAAGACATGAAAACTCCACCCAGTCGCCAGGAGAAACTAAAAGGACTAATGACAAGCAACAAGTATGAACAAATTCCAGTAAACTCAAACATTGACACATCTATGTCATGCCCAAATATCTTCCAACATTTTTTTAAATAGAGTCAAATGTACAAACATAATCATATGCCGGAAAGCAGCATTGTGACACAATACCCTTCATCAACGTTTTGTCCCTCTGATCCATGGCGCCAGAAACTAAGAGAGTATATATTGACGTTTGTACAGGATATCCATACTAGCGCTGAAATGAAACAGAATATGAACCAGTGTTTGGATCTTTGACAGCTTTGAAATTGTCAACACTCATTCCAAATCGACCCAAAAGGGAATTTCCCATTTCCTTCAGCTTCCCTGCTCAAAAGGTAAATGATTCAACTACAGTGAGAGATGCAATCGCAATTCAAGATATATATAAAGCTGGAAAGCATTTGTTATCCTACAATACTTTCACTGTTAAACATACAAAAATGAACTATCCTTGCTTGAAGCGCTTAACAGGGAAAATAGAATACGAAAGCAGATAAGACCCATAAACGCAAGAATGAAGTCACAAGCAACAGAGAAAGTGCAACACAATAACGCCTTTTGCATACGCAGAGCAACCAAGATCAGAAGTTCAGAAAGTGTATGAAATAGGATTGGAGTCGTTCTATTATCATACTATCAGGTCCAAAATTTACAATTTGAGTGGTGAAACTACAATACTGTTATCGTATTTAATCAAGATCACTAAATGCAGCATAGGTACACCCCGAAGAGCTTAGATGCCCCAGTATTTTATCTGATAATTCCAGATCCTCTCCTTCCCCTATTTTCTCCCTTCAAACATGTTTTCTTCAGGCAAAATGAAACATTTCTATATCGACACATAAAAGAGCAAAAATGTCGCCATTTAATAGCAACTATCCATATAAGTTCATACTACCAAATGTTAACAATGCTCACCAATCATTTCTTCCTTCATCTTTTCACGCTTTTCATCTGCCAATGGCTTTAAGCGAACAATCTGTCTTCTAGCTTGGTCATGTGATGGGTCAACTTCCAAAACTTTTGTTATATCTGTATATTGTAATAAACAATCAGCATAGGAAACAAGAAATTTTGAGAACCCATATGCAATCTACGAGAGATTAATGAACGGCATTGACCAAATGTTTCAAGAGCAAGAGAGAGAGTAAGAAAGAATCGAGGCATTGAAATCCACAAAACCACCATAAATTCAGGATAAATCTTCTTATATGCACAAGATTGACAATAAGATATTCAAAATCTCACACCCACATACCTGCAATGGCTTCTTCGAAATGTTCCAACATTTCATGTGCCTCTGCTCTTCTAAGCAAAACTTTTATGTAGCTAGCGTTTAGCTCCAATGCTTTTGTGCATTCTTTAATTGTATCCTCAAATTTTTTCTGTTAAAAAAAAACAATATAACTTCATCAAACTTCAGTTGGAAACTTATCAATGCATGAGATAAGCAGAGCATGCACTGCATAAATAAGGCTATCATACTAGAAGTTATTTGAGAATCACATAACAGGTATCAACAGATAAAGGAGGATACTGTAGCATCAACCACCAACAAGGTACTTGGTGAGGAGCTTAAACATACAGAGTCTCTCTAACTGAGGAGAAAGAATGTTTTGATGGAGAACTAGTTATAATATGCGGACAAAATTCTCTTCCAACAAATTGTGAACAATAATAAGATAAGTACCGTGTATCTCAACAATAAAGGTTAATAACATATTGTCTACCCATATGAGCTGAAAAAATCATTTCCAGTTTTAATGATTCAAATCAGATTGAGTGAGCCAGATTGATGAAAATAGATCTTGGACCTTACTTGGAATAGCTAACAGACTTTCTTCCACATCCACCATTGACACGCTAAGGAGATTACATACAAGACATAGCAGGTTACCATGGCAACTTGCCTACTTTGTCAAGATTTAAATCCATCTGCTGTCCGGTTTAAATCAAACGTTAACCACAAAAGTTATACTTGGCTCCGGAAAGAAGAAGAACAAGGGTAGAAAAAGTAAGAGAAACAGCTGCATATCAATATCAAAGCCAATTAATCTTCTGTCTAATAAATTATTCAAATTCAGACTTCATGTGTCCAGAGCCTAGACAAGAAGGCCACCGGTGAAGAAAATCCAACAAAACCTTTAATCATGTGAAAGGAGAAATTAAATGTTTAAACTTTTTCTGCGACACAATAATAGCAGCAGCAACAACATTTTTCCTTAAAAGAAATGAAAGCCTTTGTTTCTGATATTAGCTACATACATGTTTTACAACAATAATATATTTAGAATTCGCATCAAGTTCTATCCAATGCTCTGTGTGTGTGTGTGTGTGTGAGAGAGAGAGAGAGAGAGAGAGAGAGAGCTTCTATAACAAAATATTGATGTTTTACACTCACAGGCCAATGATAACCCAGATCAACCGCTATCTATTGATTACAGCAAGCAAATATGCATGCCCAGATCATAAAGAAATAGAAAGCGAAAGAGCAACTTTTAAGAAAGACATGCAAAATGCCAATTTTAGCATATATCAACTCAATAATATGAGAGCTTACCATTTTGGAATAACACGCAGCACGATTTGCATGGCATACTGAGCGTAGTTCAACAGATTCTGGTATACTAGACACAGCTTGTAAAGCAATATCATACTTAGACAATGCCTCTTCATACTGACCATCCTTAAACAATGTATTGCCTTCAAGTTTTGCATCATTTGCTTCTGCTAATGCTTTCTGCTCCAAAAAGAATAGAAAGCTTAAGAGATGACAAGAACATCTACCAAAAAATACATCTGGAGGAGTTTACCAAAAGAACCAAGGCAATAACAGAACAATAGGATTCCCGACACTAATGAGGAAATTTAAGATAGTCTAACATCTCTCTACTGTTAGAAAACATTACCAAATGAATCATCACCAAACACAAACCTTCTGTACAAGAAAAGGTCAAAATGAATGAGAGCAACGAAACATTGAAACAAGGCCACTTGTTCTCAAGAAGGGAAAATATTTCTTCTTTTACCTTTTGAGGTTACAATGAGGATAAGCAAGGCAGATTCTTGTTTTGTTTATTAAGTGAACTCTTATTCATCATCAACAAGAGTGCATAACAATATCACAAGTGAGATGCTAACCAAACTATAAAGCGAAAGAACCTTAACCACTGGAAAAGAATCAGATCAATCTAAATCTCCACCACAGTTGACCAGATATAGCAGAGGAACTGACAACATAAGACTAGGCATTTTCAGAAATCCATTGCCCTCAAGCAACCATCCTATCCAGCAAAGAAACCAAATAACAAGATCGCCTTCGCATAGCCAAGATAACATCAACGACACTGAAGTCAGTCCCAAGTTCTTTGCAATACAACCATGAAACAATACGTGGTGCAGACTTTTAGCCTCTTTCTCTTAAGCATGGACAAAAATTGATTCGCTAGTCCTCCGCCTTTTCATAACAAGTTCCAGCAGACATGCGCTATGAGGTGTCCCACAGTGAAACTCATCTTAAAATTAACTAAGCAAAATGTAACTCTTTCTTATTTTGACCCCCTCTAACCCAAAAAACTACAACTGTAATTGAGGATCAAAATAGCTCAAGGGTAGTCACAATTCCCCACCACCAAAAAAAAAAAAAAAAAAAAAAAAACTACAAATGCAAGCCTAAAGTGCCAAGGTAAATCCTTATTCATATATTTAAACTGAATTCTCCATGTTTACATTTATACATGCTGCATATCAATACAAACTCCTAATACTGTCTTTCCTACAGTTACAGCTTGATGATTAAAATTTCCTTTTTACCTTGAGAAAAAAAAAAAGATTTCTCCTGCTTCAACTCAAATCATCATCAATTTATCCACGAATGATTTTCTACGCCACGGAATATTTCTCCATATAGCTCAATCCGACTATGAAAATTCCTTTAAAAAAAACTACAAAAAATAGCACAAAAATACATAAAATGACAAAAGAATTTCAAGGAGGTTCTCATATTACCTCAATAATCTGCTCCTGATTCAAATCCACTTGCTGCTCCTGATGCTGATCATTAGCATTGTCCCTCTCCTTGGAGCCTACTAGACCCTCCTCCCTGTTTCCCTCTTTAGCTTCTTCCTTTTCAGCTTCTTCCGTTCGCTGTTCCTCCCCCACGAGATCGTCTTCGTCGTCGTTGAGGTCAGCTTCGCTGGCAGTTTCGAACCCATCGGAGGCGTCTCCAACTGCAGTATTACCATGCGATGTTGACTCTTCCACGATCCTCGCCGCCGATGATGACGATGAAGAAGCCGCCAGCGACGACGTCGTCGTCGATTCGTCTCTTTTTACTACCGGCGGCTTTGTCTTAGGAAGAACTTTTTCATTCGTATTTTCCACTTTTTCCCCAATTGAATTCGATTCTACTGGTTCAATCACCACCATTTTTATCTGCTTTTTCCTTTAAATCTTTCAACTTAAAAGAAAAAAAAATCTGTCATAAAAATCTTTCTACTGAATTGAAACAAATCTGTTTCCAGATTTCTACAAGCATGTGCACTTGCCGCCTTGGGGGGTTTCGAGACATCTCTTCAGTGAAGGGCAATTGATACGTCGTCGTATCAAATCTAGGTGGCCGCTGGGGAAGTGGGTTTGGGCTCTCTCCTCTTGGTGTTTTTTTTGTGATGAAGCAAGATACACCAATAGTTGCTGCGGTTTGTTGGGCTATATTAAAGTCGGAGCCTACATGATTGGGCTTTCATATCTTTAGGGGTTGATGAATACTAAGTCCAAAATCCAAATGATCTTAACTCTTAAGCCATGAATCAGTGTTTAATCCGTTGGACAATCTTTCAATTTGTATCAGACTAAAATGTCTTTTTTTTTTTTTTTTTTTTCACTCAAGGGTACACCAGTTTTTCGATCAGACTAATTCCCTAAGACTATATAGAGTTTTATCCAATGATACACAGCAAAATAGCACACGAAATTGATCACGAAACCTGCTATTAACTACTAGACTACGTAACCAGCCGGACTAACTGCAAGGGCCGGAATAAAATGTTATTAGCTGTGCACTTTTTTGATTAATGGCACTCCAATTTCTTTTATGTTCTTACGCATAAATTACATAGGAAATAGCGTGGTATTATCAATGATTGGAGCACAAATATCATATCTGTTTATCTACCTATATACTATAAAGTTAATCACAAGCCACAACCACCTGGAAGAGCTTGGATTTTTGATGTGATCCTCAATATGCTCATTCACATTGAAGAGCTTACCATTCAAGAGGAACTGTGAATACTGATCAGAAGGCTTGGTGATTCGCATCAATTTTGACGTGGGCACGCCTTCCGCTGCCTGTGGTTCGCGTCAATTTTGACGTCCAATACTAGTACTTGACAATAAATCTAGCTACTTATGGATCCATTTGGCAAAATTACTTTCGCCTTTCTAGCATTGAATATTGAATTCTCAAGCCAGCCACATTTAGCCTTGCTCGAGAGAAAGAACATTAATCCCAAAAAAAAAAGAAAAAAGAAAAAGGAAAACAATATCATTGTCATTGAAAAGCATGAACAATTGGCATATCATCATCTAGCAAAGAAAGTATAGCTTGATAAAAGAAATGTCAATTGGTAAGCAAATATACGTTCCTAAGTGATGAGCTCTCATCTCGAAAATAAAGCTGAATATTGACACATTCAAGACAAAGTGCTAGTGTCAAGAGTTTAAACTCAGGATGCACAAATTCGCCAGCCAATGCTATTTTCCTCTTCCTAATGAAAACCAATCTGATTCCCACTTTCGGGGTGAAAATATTGCAGCGATCTACAATCCTCGCCCGACAGGGAATGGAGCACTTGCCCGATCAAAGTTCTGATCTCTGGGTGGTCCTGTAAATTGTCAAAGCAGAGAAGATTACAAATTGCTAACATTCATCCACAATCACATCAGGTTAAAATGAAGACAGGGGGAGAAAATGAAACATACCTGTAGCATTGTGTGAGCAGCTGCGCGCATGAAGTTAAGAGACGCGCTCCGGTCTTTCAAAGCAGCAAGTCCGCTGTAATTTGTGTGGGGAAACAGGAGAGGTAAAAAATAAATGAATAAAATAAAGAAAATGACACCAAAAGCAGAGGCTCAAAGTTTGAATCGCTCAGGGAAGTGCCTTACTTTCGAATTGTGCAGAGAAGATCGTAGCACCGGAATATGTGAAGTAGGATTCCGGTGAATGCCAAAAATGTCTTCACGGCAGTGGAAGATGAAGATGAGTTAACTTTAGAGTTTGAACCACGTAATCTAAAGCCATTTATGGAAGGAACATAAAACTGTACTAAAATCTGTTACCATTTGGTCCCAAGTACTAACTAGTGAGTAAAGTAGAGACTTGTTATGTGGACTACCTACGTAGGCTATTGCTAAATGCTCTTCCAGTAATACTTCAAGAATCCGCATTCCAGTCTGTGATATAGAAGATACAGTTCATGCATTACAGACTACATAAACTCAAAACTCAATCAATGGCTTCTACTCTCTTGCGATGTTCTGAAAGCGAACGAACTGCTCAGCACATGACATAAAGATTGGAATTGCCCGTTAATGGTACAGTTCATGCATATGTGGTTAGAACTTAGAAATCAAAGGCTCACCAGTTTGGCCAACTCACTTCCATGTCTCATGCCAATGTCAATACATTCTTGAGCATCCACCAGTCGATTTTGGCATCTTTAGCCTTTCAAATTGAAAGAAATAATTTGCAGTTGGAATCAGCAGATGAATACATGTCTCATGTACTGATATGTACCTTGCACAAGAGTTCAATAACAAGTAGGGCCCTTTCTCGAATGTCCTCGCGTATTGCTTCTGGCACTTTTTCATCAAAAAATGCTATCATACGAGGCTGGTGGTTGCAATAGCCATCTGCATTAAACATGGAACAAATTGTTGGTAATAGACATTTCGATGGCAAAATTAGTTTACAGATGGGAAGCTGGGGATTGAGGTACAGCAGAATCAAAATGTTATCTCACTCAATACAAGATCTGGATATGTAGCAGCAGCTGCCATGCACTGAAATGCAACCAGGTTAATAATATTAGTATAGTTGCTCAAAACTGGAAATCTTCGCCACTGGATAAAAGACAGATAATGTTTTTGCAGATTCTCAGTTGATATTAATAATGGCTTCAATTCTGCAAACGTGGTTATATCCCTTATTCATTTGGATAGAAAATACAAACTAACAATGGGGGACGTGCAGATTAATTGTTTCAAGGTTCTGACAATTCCAATCTTCAGAATATAAGAAAGCTGAACAAGAAATCTAATAAACATATCTCAATTTCTTGCATCTTGGTGCTTAACTAATATACTCTGTAATCTTCATTAGTAAAACCTTCAAATCTCATTGTCATAACTAAACCATTCTTTTCAATTTACACAGAAAAATCTACATGATCACAAAGTAAGTGACGCATGCATTGAATACTAGGAATAAACAGTTATTCCTCTTCCAAGATACCCATTTTCTGGTCAGAATAGAACAAAAAAATACAAGTAGCATTGAAGATTTCTGCTTCTTCATTAGTAACAAGCTGCAAAAATCAAAATTCCAGTCAAAACGAGATTGAGTACCAAAACGATCCCACTAAATTCAACGAGAAAAGACGCTGTACAAAATCAACCGAGAACATGTTACTAATTTTTTTTTTTTTTTTTTTACAAACGATAACTTCATATATATATATATCTATCACCCCTTGAAAATTCAAGAGTTAATTACAAAAAGGGGTAACTACCCCCATATCTTTCCTAACTAGACTTGAAAGCCAAGCTGGGAAAGAACCTTCCCATTCAAAGTCTCTAGTTGCCTTAGCTGCAAATTGTGCTAATTCATGGCTACATTGATTCACCGTTCTAGGTACAAAAGTGAACGTGCAGCTTTCAAAATTTCCTTTCTGAACGTCAATGTCATCCAGGATTGTTTGGAGACTACAATCCTGTCCATTGTCCATGTTAATGAGGCTCACTACATGCTTGCAGTCAGATTGGACTTCTATAGTTGTCCATCCTGCAATCTGAGCCATTTCAAGCGCCCCCCTGATTGCTAGAGCTTCTTCAGTGGCTGCAATTCCTTTCCTCCTCGCAGTAATTCCTTTTGCTCTCACTACTTCTCCGCGCCAGTTCCTTGCAATGATTCCAAGACCTGATCTGACCATTTTAGCCGAGATGGTAGCGTCCGTATTGATCCTTATTGTTCCTTCCTTTGGAGGTTCCCAACGCTGCTGGATTGGTGTTGTCTTTTCTGATTCAGAATTTGGACCCGTGTCTGACTCCATTGCTGCCTCATACTCGATCCATTCCTGTTGTGCCTTGTCAACAATATTCTTTGCATCAGTTATCTCCTGCTGGAAAGTAACATTGTTTCTTGCTTTCCAGATTTGCCATAATATGTTTGCTGTAAGTTGGATTCTGCCCACACCTTCAGACTTTTTTGCTGCTTGCAACACCGCCTCCCACCATCTCCACAGGTTGCCTTGAAGATTAGCTAGCCCTTCCCACCGAACAGGTGCAATCTTCCATATTACTTGCGCTGTTGGGTAGGTAAAGAAGATATGCTCGATAGTTTCCATGTCCTCCCCACAACAGTGACAAAACTTGTTCCCTATGCCAAACCTTTTATAGAGAGCATCCTTAGTGGCCAAACCATTTTGTAGACATCTCCATAGGAAATGTTTCAATTTCATCTTAATGTTTAGGCTCCACAAGGTTTTCCAAACTGTATGCTTTCTTATTTCCCAACTGGTTTCCGGATTAGGTGCTGGCCTTTGATTTGTTACCTCCTTTTCCTTCTTGGCAATCACATATCCGGTCTTCACCGTGTAGATTCCAGACTTGCTGTGTTTCCAGAATAATCTATCCTTTCTGTTATACAAGCTAAGAGGAATATTAGAAATCTGGTTTACTATATCTTCATTAAACCAAAGCTGCAGAAGACCAATGTTCCACTTCCCTCCCTCTATAAGCTCATTAACAAACTCTAGATGACAACCTACTGGTCTAGCCGTGGGAACTCTTCCATCCACCAACCCAGGTATCCACTTATCCTGCCAAATCCTCACTGACCTCCCATCCCCCACCCTTTTCCATAACCCCTTTTGAAGCAATTCCCCCCCCTTATGCATACTTTTTCAGCACCATGAAGCATTATTAGGGGGTTGCTGTCCTAACCAATCCTCCTCCTTCATGTACCTGGCCTTCAAGACTTTGCTTACTAACAAATTTGGATTAATCACAATTCTCCAAATTTGTTTTGCAAGCATAGCCAAATTAGAAGCTTCCAGGTCTCTAAAACCCATACCCCCTTTCCCTTTCACCTCAGACAGCTTACTCCATCTAACCCAATGCACCTTATTTTCCTGTTCCCCACCACCCCACCAGAACCTCGCAATCTTAGCACTAACAGCCTTACACAGACCCTTGGGTAATTTAAAGCAGGACATAATGTACGTTGGCATAGCCATGATAACTGCTTTGATCAAAACTTCCTTACCCCCTTGACTGAGCAATTTTTGTTTCCAACTCTGGGGCTTACTGATAATGTTGTTCATCAGGAAGCCAAAAACCTGATTTTTATCTCTCCCAATTGTCATCGGAAGGCCTAGATATTTACCACTATTCGCCTCCTTCATATTATCCAGCACTTTACTGACTTCCCCTCTAATCCTCTTGGGAGAATTTCTACTGAAAAACATAGCAGATTTATCAAAATTAACAACCTGCCCGGATGCTTGTCCATATATCCTGAGAACCTCCTTAAGCTTTTGGGCTTCTTTTTTACTTGCTTTGCAGCACAATAGGGAGTCATCTGCAAAAAATAAATGAGAAACCATAGGACTATCCCTGCAAATTTTGATTCCAGTTAGATGCTTGTTATCCACAGCTTTCTTGATCAGGTTTGAAAGCCCTTCCGTACAGATGATAAATAAGTAAGGAGATAAGGGATCTCCTTGTCTAATCCCTCTAGAAGGTTTCACACTACCCACTTTCTGCCCATTTAAATTAAAAGAGTAAGCAACCGTGGAAATGCAGGTCATGATCCAACGAACAAAAGTGGGACAGAAACCCATTTGCATCATGATTCTACCAAGAAACTTCCACTCCACTCTATCATAGGCTTTAGACATATCAAGTTTAAGGGTCATGAAACCTACCTTACCAGCTCTCTTACTTTTAAGGAAATGCAAAAGTTCATGCGCAATAATAACATTGTCTAAGATTTGCCGGCCAGGAATGAAAGCAGACTGTGAGGGACTGATACAATGCTTAAGGACCCTTTTCAGTCTATTGGCCAAAATCTTGGAAATGATTTTATACAAGACATTACAAAAGACTAATAGGCCTGAAGTTAGCAAGCATCACAGGATTATCAACCTTTGGAATTAAGGAAATGATGGTCTCATTAATGGCCTTAAGCAGATTACCCGTATGAAAGAAAGAAGAAATGGCATGGACAATGTCAGCATTTATAATGTTCCAGTAAGATTGGAAAAAACACGGGGACATACCATCAACACCTGGAGCTTTGTTGGGGAACATAGAGAAAATGGCCTTTTTAATCTCCCCCTCGTCCACAGGTTTGATCAACTGAGCATTCATGAGATTGGAAATAGTACACGGTATGCCTTGTAAAACCTCCTCAAATTCTGTGGGATTGGTGGACATGAAAAGTTCATTGTAGTGGTTACACATTTCCTCCTCAATTTCCTTGTCGCTCCTACACCAATTCCCATCAGACTTTTGGAGCACACTGATTCTGTTACGTTTCCTTTTAGCTAAAACACTTTGATGGAAAAAAGCCGTATTTTTGTCTCCCTCCTTGAGCCATCTGTTTCTGGACTTCTGACTCCAATATAGCTCCTCTTCCTTGTAAGCTTTACTTAGCTGAAATTTTAAAGTTGCAATGACTCCTTTGTTACACAGCTCACCCGCTTCTCTTGCAACCTTCAATTGCTCCTTAATTTCCTGGATTTTCAGCTTTGCATTACCTTTTGTTGATCTGTTCCACTCGATCAAAGCTACTCTACACTCCCTAATTTTTCTTATAACTTTATACATCCTGGATCCATCTTGTTCTTTTCCCCACGCTGTGCGAATCACAGGCACAGTTGCTTTGTCCTTTGCCCACCTTTGGTCGAAAAAGAAACGTCTCCTCCCATTCCTTTGTTGCGGTTTTGTGTCCACCATTAGTAGGCAGTGATCTGAAGCCTCCATTCCAATATGCTCACAGGTTACCTTTTCATAGACTTGCACCCAACCCACACTCCCTAAACATCTATCCAACCTCTCCTTAACCTCCCCTTCCCCTTCCCATGTATTGCACCAAGTCCATGGAACCCCCACAAGACCAATATCTACTAGCTCGTTCTCAGAGATGAAACCTTTAAAGTCCCTAAAACTTCCCTCAGATCTTTCATTCCCACCCCATTTCTCTCCATTCGAACAAATGTCATTGAAATCTCCCATCACAGCCCATTTCTCACCCCATTCTCGTTTTTTCTCCTCAATGAATTCCCACTGATGTTTCCTAACTCTACCTTCCGTACTAGCATACACCCCTACAAACCACCAGCTGTCATTTGTTTCATTATCCACTACTTTCGCAGCAATATACCAATCCGAACCCTGCACATCCAGTAACACCACTCCCTCCTTCCAGAAAAGAGCTAATCCCCCAACTCTGCCCTTAGGATTCACTATAAAGCTAGAGAACATGTTACTAATTAATGGTTCAAAATATAAATTTCTGATGAACACTATATTCTGAATGCCCAACAAATGAGACAATTCCCAACTGATGAAATTCCATAAAAGACAACAAAAACGAGTTTCCTTGAGCTACTACCCCATATTCTGAATCCACACACAAACATTTCACTCAATATTTGACAGTTAAGAGAAGAATATTGGAACCTGTTGAAGGTGATTAGCAAGGGAAGAAAGAGCAGATGCTCTTGTTTTTCGATCTCGAAGCTTAAGAATCATGGGTTGCAAAGCTTGATGCAGGTTCTTCAGAATTTCTTGATTTTCTTGGTCCGTCATTTCTCTTGATTAAACACTTCTCTGAAAGCTTTGGAGAGATGAAGAGAAAGAGGTGAAGAGAGAAGTACAGGATTTCTTTATTTAAAGAGTGAGTTAATCAGAGCGGGATCGTTAGTTAGTTATTTCGTTATTCTCCCACTCAAACAAACCAACTGCTACCAAGGCTAGTTCCGGGATTTCACACAATAAAAATTGCAGATTTTTTTTATTGTTTTGTAAACCAAAAAAAATGTTGCATGTTGTTATTAGATGAAAATAAGTTATATTAGTTAAGGTCTTAAGTCGGAACTTATTGTTATTTTCTTACACACACACATATATATTTGATTTGGAACTTTTCAACTTGAATAAAGATCAACTTTATATTTATATAATTAATGTTGCTTAAGAAAAATCAAAGAGGCCGATCATCCGAAGGTTGGTCTCAGAGTCTTGGAAACAATATATTCTAAGGGCAAATTATATTTTACCCCCCTATAATTTAGTATTTTTGTACACAACTCTCGTATGGTTTCAAAAGCTATACATAACCTCATCATGTTTTGTATTAAAATGTTAAAGTGACGGAAATGATCATTAGTAACAGAACCTTTTAAAATGTTGAAATTACCCTTGTTTAAAAATTAAAATGGCTGAAGTAACCAAAATATATAAACATAATATACATGACGCATTAACCTCGTATGATTTTATATTTTATCATATAACCCCCTTACGATTTAATGTTTTACCATATAATCTTATTATAATTTTCAAAATATACACATAACTCCCTGTAGTTAATAAATAATTTTTAACTTTACATAGGGGTATTTTAACATTTTAAGTGACTTTGTTATGAATTGCAAATTCCGTTACTTTGACACTTTAATCCAAACCATGAGGAGGTTATGTATAACTTTTGAAACTATAGCGGGATCATGTACAACAACACCAAACCACAGGGAGGTAAAGTGTAATGTGCCCTATATTCTAACGTTTCAACTTAGTATTGAACAAAATGTAATTTTCTTAGTATTAAGTGTCAATCTCTTAGTATTGAATAAAGTGTAATTTTCTTAGTATTAAGTGTCAATCTAATGCTAAGAAGTTCTTGGATGATACTGGCTTTACAAGTATGTTTAATGAAGTCATTTAGATGGAATTAGCTGCATCCTGGAATAGTTTTATAAAGTGCATGTTGATGAAGTCTACTTTGTCCTCTTTCAGTTCCCTAATGCTCTCCTGGTTTGCTTCATGTAAAAAGTTAAAAGAATTTTTGGGTGGAATGCAAAATCTGCACTGGGTAAAAAATCAACAGTGTAGGCAGTCGTGTTGAGAAATTTTAAAGAGAAGATAAAGAGGGAGGACAAGAATGTACTGTCAAAGCTATGAAGAGATCAATATTAGCATCCAAAAGCAGTTTTTCTTCATGAATTTCCTGTTCACGAATGGATACTCTTGAATCACGAATCCCTTCTTTAATGACAAGAAAGGAATATGGAATTGATAGACGTGAACGCCATGACAATTTACACCAGTGAAAAAAAGTAAGGAGCTATTGCTTTGCTCTTCATCTTAATGAGAATCAGAAGTTCTTGATCACAACTACGGCTGATGAAACACTGTATCATCAGGCAGAGAAAGCAAGCGGTGATCTTCAGTTCCTCCAACGAAGAGAAGCAGTTGCTCAACCAAACTTTTGATGATCGGGAATTTCTGATATTCATCAAATTTTAAAGCAAATTAAATTCACAACTGAGACGGGATTTAATCGCAGTTGGCAACAGTTCATAGAGTCTTATCAGTCCTACCAAGAGGTTAAGACAGGAAAACTGATAACAAAGCGATGGTGAAATGAGTTGGAATCACATACCTCGGTTTCATTTTCAAAAGTTCCACAAAGGAGGTGCCTCGACAGGTTCTTTCTTACAGCATTTAGTCCTCTGTTAATTGTAGAATGAAAAGCCAGCGGGAAAATTCACTGAGAAATGATCAACTTAGGATCTATATAAGCTGGAAGTGTTTAAGAACTGTCCAGGTCTCATATAGATGCAGTAAGTCTTCAAAAAAAAAAAAGAAGATATGATGCAATAATTTGACTAATCACTTGAAATGATATGCAAACACTTCTCTAACGCTTCAATTGCTCTTGACAGCAACTTACCTTGCACGACTGCAGAGAAGGACGCAGCATCGAACAGCGTGAAATAGGAGCCGAGGAGAAAATTCTGGGTCGAATGCCAAGAGAGAGATCTTCACAGAAAATTCGAGTAAAGGACAGTAAAGATGAGATAACTATGAATTTAAATCAGCCATCATTTGCCAAATAGGATAGGTCTAGGCATTACCAAATGGTCCAAAGTCCTAGTTAATCTGTACAGTAGACAAGTGTTAGATGAACTGCAGATGCAGGATATTCCTGTACTGTCTTTTAGTATTGATTCAATGATGTGCATTCCAACCTGCAATAGAGAAATATTAACCGAGTGCATCACGATTCGCTGCATTGAAGAAAATATAATAAATGATATGGGCAGATGCCAACATTTCAGAGAGTATAAACACAAAGTTCTCCCTGGTGGCCAATTTCCCAAAAGTTCAGATGTGTAATTTCCTGATAGCTTTTATGAGCAAGACATTCTGGTCAATTGTTGGCCATATTTCTGCAGCTAAACTTGAATTGTAAAGAGTCCCTTGAAATCTATCACGGTGTTTTTTCTTCTATACTGAACCTAGATAAGTGTCATAAACTAGTTATCTTAACTATTCAGCATCTTGGACTTACTGAACCGATACATGATACTTAATGAACTCACTTTAAGTTCATAGGATAAGATAACGGGAATCTGGATTCATTTGTATTGCATTGACAGAATCATTTCTTCAATAGCATTCAGAAATTTACTACAAAGACACATTACTGTACAACCAACTGTTCAGAACTTCCACTTAGAATTTGGATGCGAAAAACATCAAAAGTAACAATTTCATGCTGTTGCATTTAAAAGTGGATGACCAAACAAGCTGTCCAGCCTAACTCTGTTTATTAAACAGTGCAGTATCTGACGAAGTGGAAGCAACCAGAACCCTCCTCCCAGTTTCCCATTTACCCAGTCCCACAATAAGCCAAGACCAAAGGAGAATGAAAATATGTAAACGCAATAAATGATTGGTACTTAATGGCTCACCACTTTGGAGAGTTCATTTCCAATTTCTAGGACCGCCTGAGACATTTCAACCACATTGTTTCTTAAAGCCCAGTGGACGATTTCGGATTCTCCGGCCTTCAAAATCCAAACGAAAGAGAAGGAGCTAGTTTTCAGACCGCATCAAGTTAAAAGCAATTACACTTAAAGAACCAGAGAGTCTATCTGATAGATGTACCTGGCACAAAATGCCAAGAACTGACAAGGCAACTGCTCTTACATTCTCAAACAATTCAACTGACGTCTTAAACAGGATTAAAGGCATCAGAAAGTTGGGAATACTAGCTGCAAGAAACATGCAACAAATTTTCAGTCATGCATAACTATAAATTGTAAGCAAATTTGTTTATAGATGATATTCAGAAGTAAATCACACATGCAGCAATAAGTTTCTTACACTCAACAAATTTCAGTCTTGTTTCATCGTTAGCTGCAATGCACTGCAGTTGAAGTGTAAGATTTCAAAAGCTAGTACTCGATAATTGAAATAAATGATGAAGTCACAAAATGAATGTGCAGTAATATTTCAACCTGGAAAAGAGTTAGTACATTGATGAGACGCTTGCATGACCTTATGGTAAGAAAGTCATCAGCCATCAGTCTAAGAAATGTCTGCACTTCCTGCTTCAAAAAAAAATTATGAGTTAAGGGTACAATCAACGATATGTTAAACACTGCATTCCACTGCAATCAAGAAATGTTATCCAATCTCAGAATACTCTCCTGAACCTACACTTAGAACTCCAGATTTCCTGTAATATGTTGAACCAAAGGGTAATAAACACAAACAACTATTACCTTAGCTTCTTTGTTATTCTTTTGTAATTTTTTTTCCAGCCAGCATGGATTTAAAACCATTTCTTTTCCTTCTTTTTGAGATGATCATATGGGAAAACTGAAGCATAATAACTGTAGCATGGAGTTAGAAGGGAGACTACACCTGTAGCAACAGAGTCATAGTGCTGCAAGAAAAGTACAACATGTGGCCAGTCCTGAGGTAGTTTTCCGGATCAACATCTCTTTTCTGTGAAATAATACCACCAACCAAAACAAAATTCAGAAAGAAAACACCGATACCAAAATTAAGAACTAAATTTACATAAATCCCACACCAAACTGGCCAAATTAATAAAGAAAAGTTGAAGAATCTAAGTAACAAATACCCAATCCCAGGATCGTTCTTAAAAGATACGAAGTAAGTCATCTTCAAATTTAAAATTCACGGAAATGTATTGACGAAACGGAGATAAACTACATTCTTGTGTGCATCTTTGCGTCCTTGAAATTGAAGACAGAAAAGATCATAATTGATTACATATTAAGACCAGAACTGCAGAATGTCACCTCAAGAAGGAAGTTGCTAATGCAACGCAGAGCAGATTCTCTTAAATGTTCATCTTGCAGCTCAAGAATGACTCTTGGGAGAGCCATTGGTCTTTTCATCATCCATTTGACAGAATGCTTCCGACTTCCTCTCTTTCCCACTTTAGCAGTTGAAAAATCTGTGTAGTATTCAAGAAAGGTGTTAAGCAAATGAAATTTAGTGAGAGCAAAACATGATCAATTAAGTGCACAGAAAAGCATGTAAGTTTCGGAACCATTGTCAATCTTGGAGTCATGAAGGAGGCTCAGAGTTCTCTCTTCCCAGTTTTCTTCAAGTGGGCTGTCCTCAATTTCTCGCAATTCCTGTTCCGCCATTTCTGTGAATCGAGAGCTTCTTGGGAAAATTCTGCATGTGAAATGAAATATCACGCGTGTGAGTATGTGTGAGAAAGAAATAGACTATTCCGTTTCGAGGACAGCATGAAAACAAACCGCCTTTCCTGAGGCTATTTTAGGGATTATAAAATAAATCATTTGCACATAAATTAGAAAAATGAAAAAAATAAAGGAAAAACCAATTCAGGCTATCATAACTATTTTCTCAAAATTATGGTCATTTTAGTTTTCAAGATTTGACTGGATGCACTGTCTGTGTTTTAAGGCTCAATTGAATTGATGCTCAGTTAGAGGACTTTGGGATGACTAATGGAAATTGAGTGCTCAAGATAATTAAATTTTTTGGTTAATTACACTTTACCCCCTTGAACTTGGGGTAAGTAACACTTTACCACCCTAAACTCAGAATATATACAGTTTACCCCCTAATGACATCAGATTTTAGAACTCCATAAAAAAAATTTGGTGAACTGGCATTAATGCCCATACATATTATCTATATAGACTACCAAGTCCATTTGATGGAAATTTTAGCACCTTAATAATAGAAACTCATGTGATTTAAAAAAAAAAAAAAAAGAACAGGGAGATTAACGGATGAACCATCCTATTTGTCGAGAAAAGAATAGAGAAACAACCTGAAAAATGATGCCGCTGACTTTTGAATTGCTGAAATTTGTTCTTAAACAATATCTTTTGTACAATTTAGTATGAAACTTGTTTTTGTTAATTCAGTTGCCAATCAAGTGGGATAATATTCCCTCTTTTGGAATGCTTTAAAAGCCGTAGTCACAATAATATTATTTTGGTTATATTGATGAATATCTATGGTATACTTGGAGGAGTGCCCGCATATCATGCCGGTGTTTGGTGCCTGTAATTAAAAAGATTTTTCATTGAATAAATAATAAATATATTCTGGAAAAAAATAGTTATTAAATATAACAAAACTAATAATAGTACATTCTGATTGCAACATACACTTGTACACTTTACTTTATCAATATTTTTACAATTTTATCATTCCCAAAAGATCCCTACAAATGTCAGTTGAAAATTACTCAAGAGGAGACATAAGTTGTTTCAGACAAAAGAATATCCTCCAACGGCTAGTTATAACAACGTGTTAATTTGTTTTTGTGTTAATTGCACAACAAAAGCCACACTTCAATTAAATGTATCTATAACACCATTTCCGTAATTACACCAACACATAAGCTTATATGAGCTGTACTCGATGCAAAAATGGTTGTAAAATAATTTCATATTCCAGAAATACCTAGATGTCTCCATAAATCGAAATTTTAAATGTACTAAAATGAGGGCATTTCATTAAATATATCTAAACATATGCTGCTCTCAATTGTACCAAAAGATTTAAAAAAACTATACAACAATCCATATTTCCAAAAAGCTCCTATTCATGCGGTTGAAATTCAAACCCGCCTTTGACCTCAACGCATTCTTGTATAGTATAAGGATGTAATATGTTGGAACATGGAAACTAATATTTCATTATCCATTCCTGGACAAGTTTGAAGTACATAACTATTTGCAATCATGGTAGCCAATGTCTTTCTAATTACTTAGAATGTTTATTTAATGCCTATTTCAGTTGGGATTAGTTTTTGAATAGAAATTGGTGATGTCAACCAGAATCTTGAAATTGTTAACATGGGGGGTGAAGTGTATATTTCCTTAGTATTGGGGGGCCAAGTGTTACTCATCCCCAAGTTTAGGAGGGTAAAGTGTAATTAACCCTGAATTTTTCCTCTTCATTTGCACCTTTTCTGTCTTTAAAATCTTAGCAAAACTTGCTTCCAAGAATTTTGCTTTCATAAATTGACAAATTTTATTTCCAAATGCAAGACTTCGTCCCATTTCTGGAAAGCAGACTTCTGGGGCACTGCAGACGCGTTATGCTTGTAATGCTGTAAAGCTTCAATTCTAAGGGAAATCCGAAATCATAAGCTTCATTTTTAACTCATCTCCTTGATTTTTATACTTCCAATAATGAAGAGTAATTTCTTAGAAGTAAAACTTTAATATTGAAAAAAGGTCCAAGCAAAGCAGCAAGATCCTTGTCCTTGACAGGGAATGAGTGAAATACACTACAAACTTTAACATGGTTTACATAAAAATAATGATATGCTTCCAATTTATGGCAAAAACCAATGAAAAGGAAAAGAAGCCTGTCCAAAATCTGATTCTCTCAATCTTCTGTCACATTTTTATTTAAAATAAGATATATACATGACAAGAAGAAACATGAGTTGGATGACTATAGATTTCAGCAGCAAGCAGCAGTTCCCTCAACTAGTTTGTTTAATTTGTTATTTCTCAGCCTCTCTGCATATTCTTCAACTTCACCCTCCTGAAATTTGTACCTGCCATCCAATCCATCCAGTCAAAAAGCTCAAAGCTTCAGCTTCAGAACAGATAAGAATGCGTATATAACAAAGGCAGATGAACAAAAAGTGAATCATCTGCCAGTAATTATCAAACAAAGAGGAGAAACTGATATGAGCAACATCATATGCAACAATTGTCATTGGTTCTCTATTCTTTCTTATTCCCGAGAAGGGCAAGTCAGTAACAGGGTTCATAACTTTGTTTGGTAAATAGGAATCATTAATTTGTAGCTTTTGATTTTGAAGGATAACAGATACTGTGGATGTTGTTGATATTTGCTGAAGTTTATTGTTCGGATGTTCTACTTGGGCTGATACTGTCGTTCCCAGGAGCATAATAAACCTATTATTTATACTGGAAGTCATCATTTATTCCCAGTCAATTCAGAAATTTATTCGTCGAATGAGTCCTCTGATATTTCAGTACCTAGGAGGTAAGGATATTAAAGGGCTCAAGCTTTCTGCAAGTTTGACAGCTTCCTCCTCAGTATTCACAATTTGATTGAAGCAAAGGTATCGGCCAGTTGTGGATTTATCTTCAAAAGCTCTTATGTGAACATCTGCAAGAAAATTAACATCCACAAAAGCTAGGACTCCATTCTCATACATTTGTGCAGTTCCTGTACAATGATATCATGATGAGAAACTAATGATGATTAACTCTGCATAAAAAGGTCTGCAACTTTGTTCCTAATTTCAGCTAACATGTACCTTGAAGATATGCCATTGTCACACGAGGATTCAATTGCACAACTCCAGGACCAAGAACTAGTCCCGCATTGACGGATACCATGTTAAGCATTCGGTCCATAGCCAAAGCCCAGGCAGCTTTCTCAGAGAGAGTCTTAGCCAAGGCATACCACAACTGAGAAGTTTACCAAAACGAAATTATCATCCATTGTGTAGAGACTAACTATTTTCGTTACCGGGAATAAGCGAACGCTGCTTTTGTTGTTTGTTATATTTATTTTCCCCTTTCTTTTCACTCTAAGGAGGTTTTGGAGGAGACAGAAAGGAATTGACCGAAATCACCTTTTTTACAGCAAGTAATTAACCTATGTACAATCAAGAAACTTTTGCAGTTACCTTCCTTTGCGTGCCCTCTTTGGACTATGTATGTACCTAGGTGGCGTACTTGATAAAGAAAAAGTTTATGAAAAGATTGACAAAACAGTTGGGCAATCCAAATTGAGAGGCTATAGCAGTTTGCAAGTTTATCAGCAGAGTCAAAATTGATCTGTCTCAAGTAAAATGTTTCTATAGTACAGTGAGATCAAAAAAGGAGGGCGATCTCCTCTGTTTCATCATCGGGATTTGGACGATTGGCTGATGATTTTTAGATCTTTTCCGACCAATGGTTAATTAGTACTTAAAAAACAGTTTAAAGAAGAAAAGTAATCGTACCTTCTTTTCCCTGCAAAACTCTTGATCACTCCATGTCCTTTCATCTACATCCTTTTGAGAGCATATGTTCTCTCTCCATATTGCTGCAGTTAAAGATGAACTAAACACAATCTTCTCTATGGTGTCTGTCTGTGCACATGCCTCCACCACATTAATAGCACCTCTTACCTCATAATCAACGTCTTTCTCCTATAAATGCAAAGATTTAGCAGTGATATTTAGTAGGAAAAGTCATCATGCAAAACTTAAAAAGAATAATTAAGGGGCGAAACGAAAATGGAATGAACTTACATCGTAACCATCTGCAATATCTAGACAACAAAACATAGCACAACAGCCCTTCAAAGCTTCAAGCACGCTATGGTAATCCAACACATCCACAGTAAAAGCAGTTAATCTCTCCTCTGTCTTTTCCAATTCCACTATTTTCTTCATCACGACTTCATCTCCTGGAAGCCATGTTCAGATCCTATCAAGGCTCAGATTTTTCATCGCATCTATGTGGCTGAGCTAGGCGTCTGTGTGTGCAAGAGGTGGGAAAAAAAATAAAAAAAAAAAAGAAGTAGAGATTAATACCACTGTTCTGAAGAGCTGCATGAACCATATAACCTTTAAGCAACAGTTTCTTGACTACCCAAAAGCCCACATAGGTGGATGCATCAAGAACACAAACTGCTTTCTCATGATCTTTTGATGCCATAACTTCTGCTTCCCTCTTCTTCTTTTTTTCCTCTTCCCTACTTCCTCTTGTTCTTGTAGTTCTTACTCTACTTTCTTATACCATATCTATATACTTAGCGAACATGCAAGAAAGTTAATAAGAACGCAAAGGGTAGATAGGGATGCCAATTTGAAGATGAGTTGGTGAACTATACAAGCCACCACGTTCCTATCTACCTATCAAATTTGGATGCTCACTCGAGTATCCTTCAACCTCCATCCTTTAGTTTTACTAGTATCATTTATTTACAATGTGGTGACTAGTATAACTTCTAAACTTTGTGCACGCAAAGACCATGGCTTCCACCCAATAGTAATAACTTGCGCAAAAGATGGGAATTACACAGTGTGTAGTTGACATGGTTCCATTTGCTTCACTAATTAGGTAGGGAAGGGACAATTTTGAATGGGGTTTCTTTTGCGGCAGACAATAACACTTGGCAATGCATCGAATCGGTTACTTGTCCAGAATTGTCGAGAGCATGAGCACGTGAAAAATAGGCGTGGA